TCTCTCTCTCTCTCTCTCTCTCTCTCTCTCTCTCTCTCTCTCTCCCCTCATTTTTCTGTTTTTCAGACTCAGTGGGTCTCAGAAAATCAAACACTAAATGCAGCTGCTATTTTATCCTGACTTCCATTAACTTTTTTTCTTTTTCTGTGGGTTAGAGGAGATTACCAACCCCACCCTGTCCGATTCTCTATTTGTTTTGTTTTTTTTTTTTAAATGCTTTTTTGTTTTTGAAATTGCTGGAGTTGACATCCCATGTGCATTCAGGTGCTGACTCGTGAATGCCGGAAAGGTGCGGGTGTTCAGCTCTTTCATCAGTATATATTTTTTATTCTTATTTTGCGTCCTAGAAAGGACTACCTGTGATTTAAAAACCAACCAACCATCTACCATCTTGGACAATACTGAAATGCTGCAACGTGAATGAGGAACATAAAGACTGTTACGTACAATTTCCTTCCTCAAGGGATTATAACAATTTCTTTCCCCCCCCCCACCCCCCCGCTGTCATTTTCTGAAGGCTTAACGAGATAACGGTACGCGTTTCTTTGACAAAGGTTAAAGGGTGTCTTTGGAACATGGCGACGTGACGGCAGCAGGTGTATTCCGTATATTTGCACGTTCTGGTAAGACTGACGCTTTCGGTTTTAAAGAGCGGGGTGAACGAATATGGGATGAGATGGGTTTTATATATAAAAAAAGAAAAAAACTGGACACCACAGTATCTGGATGATTTTACTGGATGTGGGACTGCTTTCTCAGGTAACCGGTCTCGGTGGTTTGGGTGGGGGCGCGAATGGGGAGGAGGTGCGACTGCGATGGGACGATAGTAGCAAAACAGGCAACACGCAAAAGGGGACGAACCGGAACTTTCTGCTTGTGCCGGACAATATCCAGAACACTATACAAGTGAACTTCACAGTTGACCTTCCGTTCTCTTGAAGTCCCCGGCCTAGCTAACTTGGTTTTTATAGTAGGAGATGCTGCGAGATGCTAAATTAATGATGACGAAAGCTGGCTGAAGGCCGTGGTGAAGGAGCGGGTGTCAGCGTGTGTACATGCGACAGCGTGTGTTAAGAATGTACGATAGGACTTAGTTGTCTTTTATGTCCAGGTTGTTGTATTTTAATTTATTTAATCAAAGTATGTTTTGAATAACTGGAGTAGCGAGGCATTCTTAAAAGGGAAGCCAGCCTTCTGTCCTGGGGGGGGGGGTCATTTTAGTACATACTCTTTGATCTCAGGTCCCTTCATATATTGTTGTTGTTGTTATTATTATTATTATTATTATTATTATTTTAACGTTTTAAATTTTATTTTAAGAACCTCCTTTTTACGGGGACCAAACTTGAGTTTCAGTGCGGTCGGTCCTGCGTTGCAGTGAATTCAACAAAGTTTTAACGAGGTGGCATGCCAGATAATTCGGGCTGCATTTCCACCGTTAGATTTCAGATTTCGGAAAGGGGGGGGCAACTTATTCCCCTGCATGGAGTGGGGGGGGTAAATAAATAAATAAACAATGGTATTGTCTTAAGTGGCGCCAGAATCCCACATTTCAATATGCCATAATGTAACAATGAATGTTCGTAATGCTGCTGTTCAACTCAAAGAGGAATTTTATCTATATATATTATAATATGTGTGTATTATAATATATATAATGTGTGTATGTATTCATTTCTATTGTATACAACATGCAACTTTCGATAGAGAAAACAAATGCAAACATGCAGAACAGAAACAAGGCTTCCGATGTTAATTAAAACTATCAAAGAAGACAAGTACTTAAAAAAAAAAAAAAAATGAAAATAGTCCATGACCACAGACCACCTCAAACCAGAAATACCTCAGATTTTTCTATGTGTATTGGTTCTGTTAAGTATTTAGTTGTGCCGTCTTGTAGCTATATTTTAACGTCAATTTGATCTTCATCGTTAGGTTAGGGAGTTTTGAGGAAAATGTCTGATCCTTTAGGAAGAGCTACTGTGTTATGCTGTATAAATGGAAATTATGTAAATACCAATGTATGGTTGTGTAATTCTGCCTATAATGTGGTACCTGGGCATTACTGATTTGTACCGGCTCTTTCTGTCATTTCGCTTTTGTGTTAATGGGACACTTAACCTTTTTAGAATTCGCAATTATCACTTGCGTCACCACAAACTTCAGATCAGTCCATTTTAAATCACTGCTTACAGATGTATCGATATAAATGATTTTTCTTGTCTCTCAGAAGCTCGTGTGAAGACAAGACCTAAACATAACATTTGGCTAGATGATGGCTGTGGCCTTGTTATGCTCTGTAATTTATTCTTATTTTGTGGTGTATCATATCCATTGAGTTTTAAGAGTCCCCACAAGTGCAACAGTGTGCTTAATTCAAAAGGTTAATGGTTGGTTTTATAAAGTTAGAGAAAGGTTAACTGTCCCCTGTCCTTTTTCCCTTGTGACTGTCCATCTTTCTGTTCCTTCATGTTGGCTAAAAGAGAAATCACAGCAGTTGCTTTTGCCCCCTAGAAACTTCTCTCATCCCGAGAGCTTTATTTTTACATGGTGCCATGTCATATTCAGTTCTCTGTCAGCGGTGTTCAGCACCACAGAATAATGTGAGCTGAAGTGGCTCATAATCACTGGCGGTTATTCTGCATTTTTGGTCTGTAAGCTGGGACTCTGGACTGTCGGTTTTTGTCCTTGTGAATCCCGCAAGTGTCACTCGCTCACTCAGAACTAGATGGAATCAGCTGGGTATACACGTTGGCTTTTTTCCCAACAGGTCAGAGTCTGCAAGTTTTGGTTCAAAAAAGCTTTGTAGTAATGCATATGTTTATTGACGTGAATTACTCGACAAAAATGAGAATAAAAATGAAGGTGAATTTGACAGACAGTTTGATAGCTTCCCACAAATGAATAGGCCATTATCGAATGCGTTGTCTCCTTGGTTTTCATGTGATGCTCATGACTTCCGAAAGACCATGTCTGCACACATTTTGGTGTTTGTTTATTTGGAGAAGGAGATGACCTGTGTGAGGTTCAGTAAGACCATGTAGCAAGCAATATCAACAGCAATATTCTGTGGAATTTCAGGTGTGAACCAGACGAGCTCCCAGGTAATGCAGTTGACCCTGCAGCAGCCAATCAGATGACTTTAGTCAATATTGGAAGATGTACTGTGTTGTCACAGGTAAAGCTATTGGTTTCTCAGGTTCTCATCACTCTCGTTTATTCCGTCCAGTTCATTTTCGCAATGCCCTGTGCAACTTTTTTTTCCATGCCCTCCAATGAATGTGCTAAGATAAGGTTACCAAAGTGTGTCTTGTTTTCCCTCCCCCAGAGGTTAAGATTGATTTAAATGAACATTTATAGGCTTTAACTAATACCAGCAACTAGAAACACAAAATTTCACATTAAATTGGCTGTGGACAATCCAGTTACTGAACCAAACATCACATAGATTATTTGTATGAGGAACTGAGTAGAATCCATATGAGCAAGACCCAAGATCTCAATTTGTCCTCTGCCCTAAAAATGTGGGTGCAGCCCCCCCCCCCCCCCTCCCAATACTGCAAGTCCATTAACTCAATCAGGAAGCAGAGTAATAAAAAAAATGAATGCAGTTTGAAATGGAAGAAGATTCCCAGAAAAGTTTATTTTTTTAAACAGTGTTGTACCTAAAGAAGTTCTTTGATTTTCAAATGATGTTTTTAGTTTTGCCGTTTTTACTCCCGTTTTCGTTCTTAATTTTAATTGGTCACAGTATGCCATAAAGCAGGAGGTGGTCGTCTAATCAGTATTATTGAGTGGAGTGGTGGAAATCTGCAGTGTAAATCGGTTTCATTGGTGGTGTGACTTCATTCTCCTTAGGGGAAGTGAGGACTAGTATTTATACTGGAGGGTTCAGGTTGAATTTGAATGCCATATTGAATCTGTCAGATTGAATCGATGACCAGGACAGAGACTTCACAGCGATACCTTTCAATGTTTGTTTCCTCCTTCCATTATGTATATTCTAGCTTTAATTACCAGCTTCCAGTAGATTCAAGGGAACTAATTTTGATTCATGATGACAAACACTGAGTCCAAGTGAGAATGGCTTATGTTATCAGTATAATATATGAAGAGTCTGGTCTTTGGACCGAAATCAAGATGCGTTCAGATTTTGTGCCTTTATTTTTCCTTGTTAATCTTGTTAAAGTAACTGCTGTGAATCTTTTTTTTGGGTAACTGTCAAAACTTATAAATATCTAGAATGAGAAGTAACCAGCTGTAGTTCTGGATGCAGCCTCAGATCCAGGTGTTTCAGGAACCAATTACCTCAGACTTCACATGATAAAGTGTTGCGAGCTGGGTTCTTCTTGTTGCCAGGAAACGGTAAACACTATAAACGCAAAACGGGAAACCTCTTTGTACTGGTGTAACATGTATTCACACACCCCTTGACAACGTGTCCGCCTCCCCGTTTTCTTGTTCTCCCAACCTCTTGTTCAAAGCAAAGTGTGATGCTGTAATGGCAGAAGTTAATTGTGTCCTACTTCTTTAAATGTTGTGAAGTCTATTCAAATATGGACAAATAGCTGTATGTTGCTATGGCAACTAGGCAATTTAAATATTTATGCAACGCATTTCTCAAATTGACTCTTCTCATACCTCATGAATTTGAATAGAAATAAATAGCTAGCTAGTAATGTTACGGGAAAGTTTGCATTACAAATTCTTTGCCACTATATGGATGTCATAACTTATCCTAGATGAAAATATTAATGCTTGAATATTAAGTCAGTAGCTGTTTACTCACTCCCTACGATCTTTGAAGCTCTAAATCCAGTTTTTGTTTTCATCCTGGCTTAGGTTATTGACGTTCATATGGGATTTGTCATTAGCATGAGATGGGCATTAATTACTAATATAAAGCAAATGAAGTTATGAATACAGATGTTGGACCTGGTGGACAGACTCTTACTGACAGAGCCTGGATTTAGTGGCTGATACAGTACCTCACGTTCTTTTTTTCTGTAAACCAGCAGTGTTCAGGTTTTATGTCTCATCCACAGTACGATTACTGCCTGGGCTGACTGCCCTTATTCTGCGTTTGAAGTACTAATCTGTCTTCCAGGGGAATGCATCATCTCATTTTAATTTGCCAATGGCTAAAAAAAATCGGTCCATACTTTCTTAGCTCTTTGAAAGTAAACGACGACCGCTACATTGAGAATAGCTGATAGCCTGTGCTCTATTACAGTTTGACTGGGGGTAAACACTTCTAATTCTTCCCTTCTCTGTCGAGACCCACAGCAGGCCCGTGAAAAACAAGGGGATGGGAGCAATAAAAGGGAGAGGTTTTTTATTTTTTATTTTAATCTGTCAAGAGGTGATATTTAAGTGCTGTTTTTATACCAGTATATGTGAAATGTAAATGTCTTAGGTCATGTTTCATTATTGTAGCTAAAATGTAGGTAGAGCAAAGATGACTTGTACTACTGATTTTAACAAATACTTAATGAAAACCATTCTGTAAAAGACAAACTATGTATACAGAGTTAAGCTTGTTGCTGTAAATCCCTCTTTTGGATGAGGAGTGTGTCGAAAATATATATAAAAACTCAATGATGCCGTGATGAAAGGAGAATTTTCGTTTTTTTTCCTTCTTTCCCGATGTTCATTGTAACATAGTTCATTAATTTGCAGTGGATTATTGCTCATTTTTAATGTGGTAATTTTAGAAACCGAGCACCCAGAGTTTGAGTTAGATTTGCTGAGTCAGTCAGGTGTCGTTGCTTCCACGCTGCACTTGGTGCCAGAATAAACCAGTATGAATGTAGAATTTGCCCAGTGTGAAGCAACTACACCCTAAGCTGTTAGGAAGAAAAAAACACTAGAAATGATTTATTTCAAGTTTTATCTTTTTGTATATGAAAAATAAAATACTGAAAACCATTAAAATTGCTGTCTTCAGTCGTCCTTATGTAACCCTTACTGTAATTTTAGTAAATCTCGCTGGACAACCTAATAGGTCTATTCTGAATGGAGATTTCTGAGCGGAGGGCAAATAAACTTCATTAGCGAATCGTTAATTGTTTCAACAAAATGTGCTGATCTATATGCAGGTAAGAGGTATGTTTTCCTTGGTATAAGACAGGGTGACGCTGTTGGCTATCAAGTGAGTGAGGAATCGTATGAAGCAGAAGGCCTATTGATAATGTTTGTCTCTTCTCTTGTTAATACGTTTCTTGATTTTCAGAGAATAACAAAAGATTGCGTTTCTTTCTCATATGTGCCAATGTCCCCACAAGCTGTCCTCCATTTACCAGTCACGTCTGATGTTGATTCATTCAAATCTCCTATTCGGTAACATCTATACCAGGGGTCTCCAACTCCGGTCCTGGAGAGCTACTACCCAGTAGGTTTCTGTCCCACTTGGCTTCTGATGAGCCACAGCTGCTCCTGGTATTTACCTGAGAACAGGTGTGGCTCATCAGAAGCCGGGTAGGATAGAAAACCTACTGGACGGTAGCTCTCCAGGACCGGAGTTGGAGACCCCTGATCTATACTGTGTTAAGCTTTTCCCACTCTTTGGTCAATGGTGCAAACCCTACGCAGTCAAAGGACTTGTTGCTCACTAAATGCAGCTTTGTAACTTTTTTGTGTGTTTTAATGTAATATTAGCAGTCCTGGATGCCGATCCTGGGTATGGACATCTTTCAATTCGTGCTCTACCAGTCTGTAATCGTTGTCCTATTTTGCAAACAAAAGTGGTCCTGCGCCTTTAAGATCACTTTGTCCCTAATCATAGCCTTCAGCCTTAAACGGTAAAGCATGACTGCTGGGGGCATATTACTGAATCTGAAATTCCAACAGTGCAAAGAAATGCATTTTTCCTCTCTATCCTTCAGGCCCCCCCTTTCTCTTCATACCCCCAGACTCATGCCTTATTAAATCCCGTTTTGGCATTTTAAGGGTTATATATAGCAAACTGCAGATTAATAAACCCAAATGCATTAAGCAAGTCTATCTAACAACTGACCTTAAATGGACCATATATATATATATATATATATATATATATATATATATATATATATATATATATATATATATATATATATTTTGTGGTGTGTGAACCTGCTTTATAAAGTGCTGTTAAATGAGCACTCTCAGTAGCTCATTATTTTTTCTTTTTTTTTCTTTTTATAGTTGTCCTAACAGTTTATCTAATAACTATTTACCTAGAGGGAAAAAATCCTGTTTTCAAAATCATGTTTTGTCTGTTTCGGAGGGTGGAAGCCTTTTAAATACACACTTTAAAACATTTTGTACATTTATGCTGCTTTTAGACCACATTTTTAAGAATCAACGTTTTTGTCTTGCAAATGCCTTTTATTAGTGTTTACACCATGAGTACATTTACACTGCATAGTAAAGGGGATGTAGGTATAGGTAGGTACCTTTTATGTGCTCAAACCATTTTAATCCCCCTTCAAGCACCTGGCGGTAGGGGGTGTCTTGATTATGTGTTGGCAATTAATTATTCACCATAATTAAAGATTAGATCCTTTTCAGTGAGTCATTGCTATTTGCTAAATAGCTATACAATATTCATTTTTTTAATTGGCTGGGATCAAAGGAATACTTACTTTCTATGGCGGGATAGTTTTTATTGGTTTCATTATTTATTATGTTCGCTTTAGTTTTTGTTTTTTAAGATGGAAAATGCAAAAAACATGCTAACATGCTGGAATATTGTTGTGGGACTCTACTGGGTCTTGCTAATTCTGCTCCCCTAATCAGGTTTCTGCCAAAGTCTACCCCAAACGGGACAGCCACTGTCCATCTGTGCCACATCTACACACCTCTGTCACTGGAGGCCTGTGACTTCATGTAGTGGGTCTAAATGTGATGCACTTCACTGTCATTTAAAAAATTCAGATAGTACTCGATAATTGAAGCCTAAGTAGAGTAAAAGTTAGGTGAACTTTTTTTTTAACTACTGTGAAAACATTAATATATCTGGCAACCAAATATTATGTAGAACTCCCATAATAGCCATACTCTCAATAATTCTTAGATGCGTATTTGCATTTTTAATATCTTAAGTAAGCGCTTGTTTCCTTAATTAATCCCACTAATTAAAATGTACAAATGTGATGCCCGCGATAAATGCTGCTATTCCATCTCCTGTCGCTTGGGGGCGAAACGCGGCATCGGAAGGAGACGCTCCTGCGCCTGCGCAGATGGTGGCGAAAGCGGAAGAGCGGCGTTGCTTTGCGGAGGGAAACGGCAGTGGGTGCAGACATGCGAGCGCGACGCTTCGGTGCACTGCGCTTCTTCGGCGGCTTCGTGTGCGGGGCCGCCGCTGCTACCGCTTCGTGCGTCGCTTCCATGCGGGTCTTCGGGCGGCACGTACCGGATCCAGAGCCCCATCCAGGTGCTGTCAGCACATCCCGTGCCGGGGGTTTGACCCGGTCTGACCGCCTTACTATTCCTGTTAACAAGTGGATTATTATCTGTGCACCGGTTATCATCTGTATTTTCATATTACCTAGTGGTTTGTGTTTTTAGCCATATTGTAATGTATTTTTTTCCCCCATAAAAAGTAACTGTACAGTGCAAGTATGAGAAAGTATGTTATCTCACATTCCCAGAACTGTGAGGGAGATGATTCAATTTGTAAACCTACTACACAGTTCGGAGTTCATCTGTATTTCTGATGGTTATTCGTTCTGCAACCTTTGGTTAACTCTCCTAGCTGCCCGTATAATTCGGTCTGCCGCAGAATTTATTTTTAATGATTGTACCTGATTTTGCAGTTATGCGTTTTGTACGTGACCTCATACTTCACCATGATAAATTGCGAATTAAGTACTGTATTTATTAATAAAATAATACAAGTAGCCGAATAGTTGTAAGTTTATGTGCGTCTTGTTTTAATTTTCCCCCCCCACATAGATGATGTACCCCAGAAAGACATGGGTCGATACGGCTTCCCTGTGACAGGAGCCGAAATGCGGTCATATGCGAACCATGTCTTGTCATACGACCAGGTGAAAAAGACACCAAGATGGGTGGCAGAGCACCTGTCAAATGCTAAACTGCAAGGTAAGTAATATGGCTGCCATTTTGATGTTTTAAACAGAAAATATGTTCCCTCCCACGTTTCAAGGATTCATTAAAGACCTTTTCTATAATAAAGGGGGGCGACATGGTCAGGTTTGGTAGCCCCCATCCACTAAGAAAATTAAGAATCATTTCTCTTTCTCTGCAACACAGATAATTCAGGGGGCCTAAGCAGCTGCTAATTCTGCCTATATGTAGAGCTGGTCCCCCGGAGGGGGGCCACACATCTGGGATGGCAGGGGGGTTTGAATCCCGCCCGTCCCCTGTATGTGTGAAGTTCGCGTGTTCTTCTGGAGATTGCTTGACTTTGCTTCTGCAGCCCAGAAACATGCAGTCAGTTGAATTGTCAGAAGGTGCGGATACACGCTGCTGTTCTTCTTTTTAAACGTCACCTAGGCAGCGCTGAGAGGAAGCACTGTAAGTTCAGGCCAGACCCTGGCGTGACAGAACTCTTCACGGCACACAATGAGGACTACTTAGGGAGCGGCTGGTCCAGGGGTCACATGGCACCGGCTGGAGACAACAAATTCTCTGAGGTATTCCAGAAAGTTCCGTTCATCACGGGAAGTTTCACTTACAAAAATGGTGAAGTGGGAATGCTTTCCGTCTGTCAGGTAAACAGTCCAGGTGACTCATATGTTTGCTGGGTCTTGCTCTCCTTTATACCCTGTGCTATCTGCGTTCTTTGACGGTTGGTAAAGTAGCTTTTATGGTGCTGTTTTAATACTCGGCTTACAGATATATATTATTGTAAATGTATTTTCTTCCTCTTTCAACAGCAAGCAATGGCTGAAACCTTTTACCTTTCAAATATAGTGCCTCAGAATTATGGGAATAATGCTGGTTTCTGGAACAGGTGAAGTATCTCTTAATGCCTCTCATGAAGTCAGTTGAGATGCACCGTGTCCTTTGTCGTGACTCTCGCTGATGTCATTCTTGCTTCTCTTAGGCTTGAAATGTACTGCAGGAACCTAACGGAAAAATTTGAAGATGTCTGGGTTATTTCAGGACCACTGATGATGCCAGAAGTGGGGGCTGATGGGAAAAAAACAATCTCGTACAAGGTGATGGAAAGGTGCTGTTGTCCGTGTGAGGTCCATACCTGCTGAATTGTCTGTCCTGGTTTCTTTAGACAAATCTCTTGATTTATTTACAACTGTGTATTGTATTGGATGCTATGTTATATTACCTCCTATACAGTAGGTGGCAGTGCTAACCTGTCATCTTCAATGAACCTAACATAAGGGGTAGAGAAATCTTATCTTTAAAGGTAGATATGTACTGATTTCTGCAGCAAGACCAGTTGAAATGTCATCTACCTTGTCACAAATCCTGGGGCAGCATGGACTGCAAAAACATTGATTTGCCTCTGAACATCAGGTATCAAGGAAAGCACAGTTATAGACTGATGCTGACGGGGGAGTACATGGAGAAGCAGGCTGCCTGCCTTAGACCATAGTAAGACCCAGATAACGTACAAACTGGGTTGCGTTGCCTGCTCCGATAGGTTTCACATTTTTGAGTTTGGGAAAGTACCTCAGAAACCTGCTGTGCTGGCTCTTGGTGGGGGTGCCGAAAGGTGAAGGAAGAGTAGTAACAAGCAGTTAGCCAGAGACTTGTTTTGTTGACAAGTTAGAAAAGCATTTGTTTTACTTTTGTTTTGTTTGGTTTTTTTTTGGGGTCAACTTCTGTAATTCTCCATACTGAACAGTAGGTGGCAGCATTGGCTTAACAATCTGAAGAGAGTTTTCATTCCAAGATGACACTGCAGACGAGGCTAAACTCGTCTTGGCAAAGAAAATGGTGACATGCTGATTTCATTCTGTACTGTAGTGGTCAGGTATCTCTGGCTGTCGCTGAATTCTTCACACACCAAGCCCAGAGCAGAGCCATTGCTTGGTCCGGTGCACAGGGAACAAGTTTCCGCCATGCGGCAGACAGCTGCCATCTCGCATTACTCATCGCATGTGGGAGGCCAGTGTGCCTTTGAAAGCATGTGGACCTCGGCTCTGGCCTCCAAACGGAAGGCTGCCCTCCTGGCGTTCTCAGAATCCACCCCCATTGGTTTTGCATGACCACACAGTAGAAGGGGTCCTGCCAGGGCCTTATCTCGTGTGGGACTGGAGCCTGCAGGGAACATAAGGACACTGCCCGCCCTTCTGGTGTTTCCCCAGCAGAGGGCTCTGTATTCAGCCCCTGTTGTCCATCATAAATGAGAGAGTAGCAGAATTATGTCCCTAAAAAACTAGTGTATCCTAAAAATGCAAAGTAATTGTTACATGGACTGGAATGACTGCCATGAAATTCACCAGCAAATTATATGTAGTTAAGACTTGAAACTGAATATTCTCCCGAGATCCAGCAGTCCATTTCTGTCTTCTGTAGGACATGTTTTTACTCATGTCTCTCATACTATATATGACACTCTTAGGTCCTTTTGTTCCTTAAAGAGGACAGACGGGGCTTTAAGGTGACACCATGCATCCCATTTATGTAAACAAAAATTGAAATTGTAAAAACCTTATCCTAATTTTTTTGCAATTGTGTCTGCTGTCAATTTCTCAAAAACAATTCTAGCTCTCAGTAAGCAACACAAATTGTGGGAAGTCCCAGTTCCTACTGATGTCACTGTTGTGTGCATGGCTCTCTTTTGCAGCTAATCGGTAAACACGATGTGGCTGTCCCCACCCACCTCTACAAAATCGTCCTGGCCCAGAGGTCATTGTCAGCACCAACTCTGGCTCTGGGGGCATTCGTCGTCCCAAACCAGCCTATCGGGTACGACCACCCTCTGACTGAGTTCCAGGTGAGCCTCGTGGACTTGGAGAAGTTGACCGGGCTCAGGTTCTTCCCCAAGGTGGACCCGGCGGGTCTCCAGAACCTATGCGAGCTGGACACCTGCAAGCTCCTGGACTTCAAGGAGTTCACGCTGTACATAACGGGCCGCAAGGTGAAGGGCGCCAACACCACGGCGAAGCTGGAGAAGTCCATGTCAGACATAAAGAATTTGGGCATCACCCCGGACGACTATCTGCTCAAGCTCTACCAGCAGAAAAGGGAGGAGCTTCAGGCCAAGGAAGCTGCTCAAGGCAGAAAGCCATAATCTGGAGAGAATTTGATCATCCCATGTCCACTGTGGTACACAACTGAAGATCTTAATGTTTGAGACTAGCGATGTGTGCCTGTTTTGAGGTTTAAAATCATTCTGAAGTTTTTGCTTTAGGGCTGGAGGCTGATTTGGTGACTCAGTGGTTTGCGCTGTAGCCTCACAAATTTTGTTTGTTAGTTACTTTATATTGCAGACGTTGATCTCAAAAGTAACGTACAAGTGGGAGAAGCTCAGATATCAGGTTCAGCCAGCATCTAGTGAGCTTTAAGGCCTTTGCTCAAATACCCTTACAGTGATAGTTACTCTGCCTGCCATGGGGTTTGAACCCATGACCATCTAGACATGGGATCAGATCCCTAATATGCTGAGTTTTGGAATTTGAATGTCTCCTTTGAGTACTCCTGTTTACTCCCTTTGTCCAAAAGCATAGGGTTAGGGGAATGGTAATACTAAGCGTCTTATAGCCAGTACTTCTTTGCTTGGCCTACAGTGAACTGGTGTCCTGGTCAGGCTGTCCACTGCCTTGAATCCTCTGGTTTTTGGGATAGGCTTCTGGCTAACCCTGACCATATGCTGGAAGGAACGTGTATGAAATAACATCTATTAATTTCTGCCATGTCCATCATACGGTTATTTAAACATAACCTCTTTCCACCACACTTCTAAATTACGGTTTTAATTTCTAAATTTCTCAACATTATGTGGGGAAATGTAATAATGTAGCTGTATTTTTAAAAATGGTTTCTGTCTCTTACACTGAAAATGCAATTCTGTAACAATTCAAAAAAAAGTTACAAACCTGCCCCTAAGTAGGCATATCAGTTTATTTTTATGTATTTTTTCGCTTCATCAATCTTTTCCAAAAAAAATAATAAAAGCCAATTGTTTTCCCTATATCAATCCAGTTAATTTATGTGAACTCCCAGTAAATCCAATAATAGAATATTTTGTCTAAATGTCAAGAGTGGAAGCAATTAATTTTTTTTTTTTAACTCTTGAATGGTACTGTTTACATATTTAAATTGAGTTAAAGCCAAGAAAACTGTGAGCAAGCAGCCTCAAATGACATACTGCTATTGAAGATTAACATCAGTTAATCTGAGCACGGATTGGCTTTTCATAACTACTAGATAGTTATATTTTTCAGAGTATGAATTGTTATGAATCACACTGCACTCAAATGATTGTGATAAATCTATCATTCGGAATATTTCATGAAGTAAAACCACTATGGAGTGTAAAAAATCAAGGTCTTCAGTTGTCGCTTTTAGTTATAAAATTATCACCATCCTCATCATCATCGTCATCATTATTTTTATACCCCTGATGAGCATAGTGGTGGCAGAACAGACAAGAGGTCACGACAATCCTCTTTCCAAAGCCTATTTTGGGAAATACCTGAATACTCCTCTAGTCTGTGCTGGGTCTGCAACAAGGTCTCCACCCAGTAGGATGTGCCCAGGACAGCCCAGACGAAGGATTATCACGGGGTACCACAACCATATCAGTTATCTGTTGATCCAATGGAACAGTAATTCTATTTTGAGGTCCTTTCAAATGTATAAACTCCTTCCTTTGTCACAGATATTGATCCTGGCAATGCTTGGACTTTCTGTAGGAATCTTTGACTGTGATACCTGTTGCTTTAAGCCATGTATGTTGCACATATCCTCTTCATTTTCTAAAGAAGTTAAGCTTGATAATAATAGTTGCACAATAACCTCATGAGGAGGCTTTTACCATGGGTTTTAAAGATCAAGCTCATGACTTAAAAGGTCATGATCCCCATTGAAAGTTTCCTGTATTTTGGCGAAGCAAGCAGTTCCTTGAGTCTCAATGACTTAGTAACTCAGGATATTCTATTGCGGTCACCCTGGATCGGTGCCAAAAATGAAGTACCAGGGAAAGTATTCAGGACGTATTCTAAGATGTCGGAGCTGGCAGTCTGAAGTTGTCAAACTAGCCACTCGTTTCTCACGTTCTGAGATAAAAGCTGAAGGTCTCCTCTTTAATGGAGAGTTAACCCTTTACAAGGCAGGCCTTGAAAGTGTTGGCAGAAGCTCTTGACAGCAAGTTTTGGACGAGTATGGCTGTGGCGAGTGACCGTTTATTTTGTTACTTTCTTGATGCAGTTGAAGTTCATTTGAGAGTATTTGGGATGTAATATAATTTGTTGCAGTTTAGAAAACTTTGGTGGGCATTTTATTAATGGCAATGGACTTACGACGAGGCATTTGCCCCTCAGGGAGGTATTTGATTGTAACCGAAGGATTGGGGCAATTAAGAATCCCATCATTCCAAACCATTGAGCCAGGTACCTAATCCACACCAGCAGGCCTGCTGCTGAAAGCACAGAACCTGCCCCTAATCCCAGCCAGTCACCACCATGCTGCGGTTCCAGTTTGTGGTTTCCAAATTGGAGACAATTGGGCCGAAGGGACCATTGAGAAGTATCTGAAGAATTACATTTAAAATTAGCTGTGTCCCGGCAGCATGAAGCTCTTCTCCTCTAGCTAACAGCAGCTAAGTGTTCTTATGCATCAGGGTGCGCAGCATCACCTGCACCATAACAATTCAGCAGGTTTCTTCTCAGCCTGACCCCTTGGACAGCTTTTTGAGAATGTCGGATGGTGTCTTGTTGTGCAGAAGCCAGTGGACAGCAATAGATAACCATGGATGGCTTGCTTTGGCAGCAGATGGCTCCGTAGGTGTGCTACCCCAGCCGAACCTTCCGTGTGGGGCCGCGTCATATAATTATTCTCAGTCACAAAAGCCATTAGCTTTGCTTTGGTGTGAACCCTGATCTACAGACATAGACTAACATAATATATATTTTGCTAATTTATGAATTAAGAGAGCTGATATATTGACTTAATTCAGGCATTAGCTATCTTAATTTGTATTCATATTAGCTAGCTTAATTCAGACATTAGCTAGCTTTATAATATATCTTAAACACCAGAGCATGATTAAATTTTCCACCCCGTTTGATCTTTATTATTTTTATTATTGTGCACTGTGCCTTGTTGTCAGGCTCTTTCTGTAGTGTTGTATAGTATGAAATGACAGGACAGTAGTTTTCATTTATTTTTCTTTTTGTTTTGTTTCATACCTTCTTATCCATGACCTGGAGCCAATCCCATGAAGCATGGTGCGCGAGGCATGGACGGCACGCCAGCCAATCACAGGCTGCACACGCCCACAAAGGGACGTTTAGAGACTTTGATATAACTAAAGCATGTCTTTGGACCGTGGGGAGGAAAGCGGAGATGCTACATGGACATGGAGAGAACATCCAAACTCCTCACACGCAGAGCTGGGACACATTAACAGCCGGCCCTGGAGGTGTGAGGCTACGGCGTCGGCAGCTGAAGCCCGTTTGGGGTCTCGCTCTTCCTCCTGTGTTTCCTGCGACAGGCTGCTGAAAGGTGCCTTCAGCGTGACATTTAGACTTACTCAGGGTTTAAAAGGCTAAAGGTTTTAGATACCAGCCCAAGTGCACTTTCATTTTAAACCCAGGTCCTGAAAAAATAAATTCAGGATTTTTCCGCTTTGTATATACAGTAAGTCATTGTGTATGTTGCTTTTCTGTACAGCTTCTTTGACATCTCATCACATTGCCGGCTCTTTTCCGGGCTTAGTCTCTGTTACTGCGAACAATAATATTTACGTTCCTCCTGTTTAAATGACCGTGCTGCTTTATTTACGCGTATACATTTCTTGACAAGAAGAATGTGTGGCGCTTGACAGAATCCACTCATTACGAGAAAACTGAATAATAAACTAATAAAAGGGGGGCTTCTAATGAACAAGTTAAGTCTAGCTGTACATAAATAGCAGACTGAGCCCATCGGTGCGGAGAAGCAGGAGTTTCCAGCACGTCGTACGGAGTGTGACTTGAGGCACGCGGCGGGTGTGACACTAATTAACACCTGAGGAGCTGGAAGAGCTGCCCCTCCCTTTTAAAATCTGGCCCCTCCCCCTTTGCCAAAAAAGGAGGAGAGGATAGAATAAGGGCGCCTGTCTGATTCATAAGCCAGCGCCGCTTTGAAAAATACACCTATCACTGTTTGAGCGCCATTAAAATACGGCTAATTTGTCACCCTGCAGCATTGCTGACTACGAAATAATGATAAAAAAAATAAACATTTCCCACCTGCAGGAAATCTGCCAAAAAAGGGGAGGAATTTGCATCCGTGCACAGTTTTTGCTTCATATTTCATAAGTTGTTCAACGAGCCAGGTGTGTCCCATATCACGACGGGGTCACTATAGTGAGGCGCAAAGACCCAGAACTGTTCCACCAAAGTTGTATCTATATATCTGTTTGAAACCAATTTAGGTTTTGAAGACCGTGATTATTTTTTGCTATGTCCATGAGAATTATGCAGCTGAATTCTTAACAGTATAGCAATTATATAGGAATGAAATTCTTGGATTTGTTTGTATGGAGTACACCTATTGCATTCCATCCATCCGGCTGCATTTTAACCGCTTATCTAGTGAAAGGCCACAGGGGGCACTGGAGCTGATCCCAGGTAGCGTTATGTATAAAGTAGGGTATGCCAGTCTATTGCAGGACACACACACAATAATTTAACCCCCCTGTTTTCCTAACTACGTGTCTTTGGGGATGATTTGAGGGAAAGTAACCAAACGCAGGCACAAATTAGTACCCCAGCCCTAGATGTGTGAGGTTACCTACTGTGCTAGCGTGTCACCTTCCTGAACACCGTACTAATTATCCAATTTCTAATCACAAGGCAATTTCAGCTTAGCACAATTATTAACTTATATTGCCCGGTTTTGTACCTCTGACTCAGGTACTACAAAATCCAGTCTCCTATTGTCACCGTTAAATCCACTAAGATGTTGAAACTGTCTTTTGTCAATTGTTTTTTTTGTCCCTCTAGCAGTAATGGAATTTTTATCATATGAAGTTAAACGGTCGCCTTTTTCTTCATTGAATTAAAAAACTTACTTTCTGTCCTATTCTTCCCGCTTTAGTAGTCTGGACGCAAGCATGAAGGACCGTATTGAATAGTGGATTTTTTTCGCTGTAAGTGCATTCAGCTTTCACCTGCTCCGTTTGCAATAATGGGCCTAGCTCATTATGTTGACTGACGCGCGAAAAGGTGCCTTTTGATGTTTTAATTCCTTGCATATTACAACACACTGAAGACAGACTAGGTTTATATTCACTGTGAGGGTGTCGGCGTTTTCATTGTTTTTTTTTTTACTTGGTTTTACTTCCTACTGTATAGGTAGTAGCACTTGCAGCCTCACACCTGCTGGGGGGGATGAATCCTGCTATGTGTGCAGTTTGCATGTTCTACTTTGTTTTTTTCTTTCCTCAACAGTTCAAAACATGCAGTCAGGTATCTTGAAATTGCTGATAATATTCAGGTATCCAGGTGTGCCCCCTAATGGAATGGCATCCTGTCCCGGGAGTCTCCGGCCTTGTGCTCCTGACAGTCCTGACCTGGATAGTGGCATATGAGATGTCTGCATTCCTTCATTCCAGGTAACATTTTATCGCTGACTGGTACCGGTCACCTCACCTCTCCCGGAACTTCCCGGTGTCTCCCGCAAATTGACAGCAGCTCCCAGACACCCGCTAAATCTGTTGTTCCGCTATTCAGCGATGGTAAAATTAGACGGCAAGGCACTTAACCAAAGAAATGCCTCCCCAGCCAGTCGGCAGCCCCCCTGCCGTCCCTTGTCCGCCTCCCTGAAACCAATATGCCTCAGGTGGGATATCTGTGCTACTGATGTTTGTTTTTGCATCCGGGTTTAGTTCTGTATAACATTTACGTGAACCTAATGCATGAAATTGATCATGCATAATCCAATGGAGATATTAGGACTTGGGAGGCCAGTATGTATTTCTTCCTACATTTGAGATATATGATGAAAAGAATCAGTGCGGGTATCTGTAGAAGTGGTCTTGATTCGTTATAGTGCTCAGCCATACCTATGGGTACCAGCAGATGGCGATGTTGGGCTGTACCTCTTCAGATGTGACTGCCGGCTGTGAGGTTCGTAAATTAGAGGTAGTAAAGCTGTAGCCAATTTAACAAGTAAAACCAGCTAAAACATCTAAAAGATTCCCAAAATGACTAGTTTGTACAGGCTAGTATAAGACTACAAGAAATATTCTAGAAAATTTGAGTAATGAGATTTTAGTTCAGTGGTAGTCTTTGCATCGTAATAAAAGGTCTATTCAGAATTGAATATGAAAACAAGGGGAATCCCAGGGCTTTTTCCCAGTGCCTAGTGAGAGCCTCGGATATCGTCCTAAGGGTCCCTGGAGTCCTGGTACTGCTGAATGGTGTTGTCACTGACAACCTGATTTCTAGGAAACAGCGATCGGGGAGGCGGAGTGGGGAGACCAGTTACTCCTGGAAACTTAATTGGTCTAATTTGATGAACACAACAACTCTGCTCTGCGCTGAAAAAAGCAGATGTAGTGTACGCCTGCGCCAGCATGTACTCCGTCATGTAAATGTATGCTGACTTGGAAAAGTGGATGAAATGTAAATCTGACACCTCGTTTGGGGCAAAAGCTGACTGATTTCACAGTTTTTTGGTCACACACGACCCACAGCTAAAGGTCTGGGGGTATTTGAGGGCAACTGCCAAACACGTCTGTGTGAAAATCCGCCGGGTAGCCATTTATTAATTTAGTGTTTGTCATTTTGAAATTACTGCTGCTTCCATAAAGACGACTTCTCACTATGACACAAACACCTATGGTCAGTGGGGACGGCAAAAAGGATCTCGACATCATATTACACATTATACATCTTATACATGTAACTCATTAAAAAATACGTGCTTGCCACGCGGCCTTGTATTGGATAATTGGTTGAAAAATAAATGAATGGTCAATAGGCTATCCGCCAAAACATTAGGTTTTCAGAAATATGACGCCTTTTTAATGCTACATAGATCTATAACATAATGCAAACATGCAAGACAGATTTAATGTTCAAAAACTGGATATCTTTAACTCGTCTATATGAATTTAGCTTACTTGTTTCTGCTAGATCCTCCCTGCCAGTTTCATTTAATACTGTGCGGTTCAATAGGTCAAAAACACGCAAAACTGTATTTCTTTTTAATACCGATCTACCGGTCCACTTTTCATACTCTTGGTTGTTTCCATTAGATTTCTTTTTTCTTGTTTTTTGTTTAGCCCCCGTAGTTATCTTTAATGTTGAGTTACCTGGATGATTGGATGCACACTGATTACCTCATTAGCTCTTTTTTGTGCCCGCTCTTTTTAGTGTACTAGTTAGTTGTTATAATCATATGTGGAGGGCGTGGTTAATTCTGCGATCGTCGGTCACGGCTCTCGCAGTTTGCGGTATTTGCGATACTGCCATTGCCCCAGGCGTACTGCAGCGTTTATATGGTGGCTGTATTGTTTCATCGTACCCCGATCAGAGCTTTACAATGATGACATTTGTATAGGAAGACACGCGTTCCCTCGCCCGATGTCACCATCTGCGATCAGACATGCCGGGAACCGCCACTCCTTTGACATATCGTGCCACAGAGTCATGGAGGGACTCGCCGCCCCCGCCCCCGGGGACCGCGTGCTCTTCCTCCGGGTCGCCCCAGAGACCTCATCATCGGCCGCGCTGCCATGGTAACCCCGACACGGCAAACACGCGTCTCCCAGGCTCCGCGGGTCGCGGCACACGTGGGGCGCCAGGAGGAGGAGAGGAAATGCACGGGATGCAGAGGCGCTGCGCCGCGCCGGCCGTCGGTGTGTGTCAGCGCTCCGGAAGGGTGCGCTTTCAAACATCTGATCTGCCATCAGACAGCCGAATTCATGATTCAGGAGTAGTACGTTTTGACAAAGTATTTCACAAGCTCTAATATGTCACATTGTGACTTTTGAAAGAAAAACTCACGTAAAATCTGTTTGAAACAGGGACGTCACTAGGATTATTTTAGGAGAGCTTAAGCCAATAAGGATTGTGTTCCGTGGCGACCTCATCATGTCTCGAAACTAAAGGCTGAAATTCCAACATGGCATTTCAGGCAGATTACAGAAGAGTGGATTCTGTGGTAAAAGTTATTCCCTTTGGCATGTACTTTGGGCCATAAGACTTGAAAGACCGTTGACCTGCATATAAAGCTGTATTACACACTGAAGGAAAGGGAAAAGCTAGAAAAGAATAACGGGGCCTCTTTAAACTGTAGATTATTTCACCATGGAATAATGGGAAATATATGCCATCATACATACATCCCTAACAGCCTAAATGTAAAACATGGAGAATATTCAGACAGTAATTGCGGATTAAAAAAAAAGTTCAGAAGTTTTAAAAACTCATGCAGTGTGTTCTGGTGATAGCTTGACCTGGCTTTGACAAAACAGCTGAAAAGCGGAAATTAAAATGGGGGAAAAAAGCTCTTCAGTGGATCCCACTGGGAAGTTTGCAAAAAAAAAAGTCAAGCAACAAACTAAGCAAAACAAACTTTTTATTTTAAAGTTGCAGGAAACTTCTTTTCAGTGGTTTGCACAAAGGGAAGTAAAATAAATCTCCTCGCCTGCTCCCTCTCACCGCTCTGCCAATGGGTAAACCAAACAAAGGTCGGAGGAGGGACTCTCCGCAGCGAACCCGAGTCCGAGGAACTGGGCACCCTTTTCAATCCGGCCCTCGCTGTTTGCC